ACTCAGGGAATCCTTCTGCCTCAGCCTCCCAAGTAGCTGGGACTACAAGCGTGAACCACAACATTTGACTAATTTTTAAAATTTTTTTTGTAGAGATGAGGTCTCGCTATGTTGCCCATGCTAGTCTCAAACTCCTGGGCTCAAGTGATCCTATCGCCTTGGCCTCCCAAAACACTGAGATTATAGGTATGAGACACTGCGCCCAGCAGCCTTTTATCAATTTGACCTAAGGATGTCTAAAATCTATGCCCATATCTCCTGTCCATACTGGTCTTGCATTCTCTTCCCTTGAGGTCCTCACCCATGACACCCCACTTCTCACCTCTGCTTGTCAAAATCCTTTTAAGAAGACCATCTCAAATGTGACTTCTGAGTGGTCTAGGGCTCAGGGCTTAGGTGGTCTCTGAAAAACCTGAGTCCAAGATGCTGCACCCACTGAGAGGGCATCATAGGATCAGGAGAGAGTTCGGGAATCTGCTGGATGAAAATCTGTGAATGGGGAATGAGGTGTGGGTAAGAGCCCTCACCACAGTAGAGTGGAGTGTTAAAGCAGGAAAGCCAGGATGCTCTCAACTGTCTCTGGCAGAAGGACTGTCCAGGTCTCCTCCACTTACTGGTATGCTTGGCCAGGATGTCAGTTTGGGGCTTGGAGGTAGGGGATTTGGAGAGCATTTGCTTATTCACTCATTTATTTAAAAACATTGAGTGCCATCTGCAAACTAGTCATTGTGCTAGGTGCTGGGAATTCGAAATGGAATATCATGCCTGCCATGGTCATATATCCAGGAGGATGAAGTAGAGCCTTCCTCTCTGGAGTAATTGATGATCAAATCTAAGGACCAGGGCTTCCAGGACCAGTTGAGCACTAACCACAGTAGGAGATGACTTTTTGTCTCCTTTTTCAGTCTTCCTCTCTTCTCCAGCATCCATGGTCATTAGACCAGAGCATCAGAGGTTCTGGAGAATCTAGCTCAGTACTTTAAAAACATTAATGTGCTTGTGAATTGATAAATCACCAAGGAGTCAGGTTAAAATCCAGACTCTGATTTAGTAAATCTGGGGTGGGGCCTAAGATTTCAGGTGATGCTTAGGCCGATGGTCCATGTTAAAGACCCAGAGGAAGATCTGACATATCCACAGATGCCCTAGAGGGCGTAGGGTGGTGGGGCCAATGTGACCAAGCTGGGACAATGCCACCCCAGGCCTCCTCAATAGGATGGACAGGCAGTTATGTAAGTGCCAGAGACTGTCAATGGGGCAAGGATAAGGTATTCTGGGGTGAGGTATTCCAGATTGGTGTAGAAATCAGTGAGGTACGTAAACCTAGTGACTTTGTGAGGTGTGCCAGTGATGTGGCATAATGGTTAGAGTTGTGTACTTTGGAGCCTATTGTCGGGGTTGAATCCCAGCTCTACCACTTCCTAGATGTGTGGCCTTCAGCAAGTGACTTAACCTCCCTGTACCTCATTCTTCTCATTTGTAAAATGTCAACCTTGCAGGTTGTGAAAATGAAATGACTTGATACTTGGAACATAGTAAGTGCATGCTGAGTAAACGGGAGTTTTAACTGTATAAGGAGGTAAGGTTCAAGCGGGGCTGCAGGGTGGAGGACCATGCACATGGATTCTGTTCCATCAAGGTCTTGGCCCAGGCAGGGTGGTTCTGCTTTCCGAGGTTCTGGTGATAAGAACCTTAAAGGGAATGGAGCTCTTTTGTGAGGCTGCCACATCTGTGGCCCACTGAGCTGCTGGTGGTGCAGTCATGAAGGCCGTGCCAGGCCAGGTATTCCTGTGTGGGTGGTTGTCATTTTCCAGGTTCAGTTTTCTGGGCAGGCATGACATAAGAGCTAGATGACACTGACATGCCACCCATAGTTGCTAACTGGTAGGAGCCCAGGCATGCTGGGAGTGGGGCTGAGGTGAGGCGGCACTTGGTGAGCAGGAAGGAAGCAGGGAATAGGCATCTTTTTATGGGATGCTGAGAAAACTACCCAAATCTCTGGATCACTTTACCATGCCAGGGAACCTTCTGGACCAGTGCTGTGCCTGAGCAGGTGCCCCAGTCGGAAGCCATAGGCTCACCATTAGGACAGGACACTTTTGGGGGCTGGCCACTAGAGTGGTCAAGTTTCTAGGGAGGATGTGGTGGCTCATGCCTGTAATCCCAGCACTTTGGAGGCTGAGGCGGGAGGATTCCTTGAGCCCAAGAGGTTGAGATCAGTCTGGGCAATATAGCAAGACCTCATCTCTACAAAAAATCAACAAATTAGCCAGGCATGTTGGCACATGCCTTTAGTCCCAGTTACTGAGTAGGTTGAAGCAGAAGGATCACCTGAGCCTTATTCTAGGGCAAATGGTATGGGTACAGCTGCCCCTCTTTGGACAAGGAGGTTGTGCAAAGCAGTGGTCTCTTTGCTGATCTTCTGCCTCCAGTATTGCCCCTCTCCAATAACCATGTGGTCTCCAAGAGAACCCTTCCAAAACAGAAATATGGCCATGTCTTGCCTTTGCTTAAAACCCTTTAGTGGCTCCCCATTTCCCATGACATCCATTGTTTACAAGCCCCTGCAAGCTTCACCGCACACCTCTCTCTCTCGTTCTTCCGCTCAGTCCCCTTCCTGCAGCCCTGTCTGACTGCTCTCAGGTCCCCTGTCGTGCTACACTCTGTTTCCCACATGCCATTCCATCTGCTTGGAACTCTTCTCCCCACCTCCTCCTCTGACTGATTCTACTCAACCACCAGGTCTCCAGTCAACATGAAATTCTCCTAGAGGCCTTTCTTGTTGGTTTGGACCAGGTGTCCATGGCCCCTGCCCTTCCCCTGTGATAGCCCTGCACTGTGAATATCAGTCTGGCTTTCCTACTGGATTGTAAGCACCATATGGAAGGGCAGGGATGCTGTGTTCTTAGTAGCTGGTGTTTATTTAATGCTGACTTTTGAGCAGAACTGTTGGAATGGCTTTCTATATAAGTGCCATCCTCCACAAGCCTCCACCCATACCTGTCTATGCCTGGTACATTCTCTCTTTCCCTCCCTCCCTTCCTTGTTTTTTGATGGAGTCTCAATCTGTTGCCCAGGCTGGAGTGCAGTGGCACCATCATAGCTCTCTGGAACCTCAAACTCCTTTCCTCAAGTGATCCTCCTGCCTCATCCTCCCGAGTAGTGGGGATTACAGGCATGAGTCACTGCACCTGGCTTCCCAGGGATTCTTTAGAACAATTCCAAGCTTCCACCTTACGCTTTTTGAAATAGACTGTACTGAGGAGGGGCTTGAGAGTCCCTATTTTCATGAAGCTCCCCAGGTGACCCAGCCACAGCCAGACCATCAAGGTTGTGATGGTCACCATTGGAGGACCACGACCCAGGTGACAGGCCTTGCCAGCAGAGGGCTCTTCCTGAGGGTTTTTGGCGCCATCAGGTCAGGTTTGAGGTGGGTGGAAAGTCTTTCCTAATTGCAGCTTTCAGGCTGGGCTCGGTGGCTCAAGCCTGTAATCCCAGCTCTTTGGGAGACCGAGGTGAGGGGATTACCTGAGACCACGGGTTCAAGAACAGCCTGGGCCACTTGGCGAGACCTCATCTCTACAATAAATCAAAAAATTAGCCAGGTGTGGTAGCACGTGCCTGTAGTTCTGGCTACTTGGAAGGCTGAGGCAGAAAGATCGCCTGAGCCCAGCAGGTCGACCCTGGGGTGGCCACAAGTGTGCCACTGCACTCTAACCTGGGTGACGCGGTGAGACTCTAACTCAAAAAAAACCCCAAAACTTGCAGCTTTCAAGGAATGTCCTGGTCAATTTGCTGTCACACCCAAAGTTGCAGGGTTGGCTCCCCCACCCACTGGCCCCTTGCAGGTAAGCTGGGACATTTCCCCCAATGGTGCTTGAGAATCTTTAGGGAGAATATTGGCAGGATGCTTGGGGAAGAGATGGAAGCACTTCTGGAACTTCTGCAAGGGGCTTGTGCTGCCCCCTGACCCACCCTACTGGTTACATCATTTCTCCACTGGGTTCAGGATTATGAGGCTATCAGGTCTTTGTGGATGAGGCTGAGTTTCCAGGACTTAAGTGCCATGTACCTGTTTGGGAGACTGGTGGCTCAGTGTTAAGTCTTCCTTCAAGTCAGTGAAGTTCAGGAGTAGATCCGTGATCACAGGTCAGCTTGTCTGAGCCCCGTGGGACTGCTGCTACTATCTCTGCTCTTAATCTGAGACCAGGGCAATAGGATTTCGGCCCAAATTCCAGACTAAGAGCAGAAGACAGATAAAGGCTATTAAGGCCTGGGCACACCTGTAAGGAGCCAAGAAGGGAAGTCTTCTTGGTTTTCTGGGCTGCCAAGATCTTCTGGGCTCCCGTCAATAGTTCTCAAATCACTATTGAATGTCTGGTTCTGCACGGACAGGATCATCCACCATCTATTTACCTGTTCTGAGAGGCAGCAAGTCAAGGATTTTGACTGTGGCATGTGGAACCTCCCAGAGGCCATCAACTGAGCAAGAAGCCCCAGGACTTTGATAGGAGCTCCTTGGCTCCTGGGTCCTCGGGGGGACAAAGAATGGGTGGTGCTAGGGATGGGGGACAGGAAAGGACTTCCATCTTTGGAGAGGTGTTTTTCTTTGGTTTGGTTCAGAGGGAGGATATTTCTCTCTGCTAGTTATGATATGATCTTGGAGTGCCATGTAAGGACTGGGAGGGATGATGTCACACCCAGAGCAAGGGAGCTTGGGCATAGATTTGGAAGCATAGACTGTTGGGGGAAATACTGGCTATCCACAGATGGGCTGTGGACTCAACATTGGGTCTGAGAGGAAGAGTTGAGGGTCATACGTAGAACTATGTGATGTAAGGGATTTGTGGGTTGGAATGGAAGCCAGATATGGGTACTTGAAGAGGTGGGATACAGGACATGTGGTGGCTAAATTACAACTTTAGTCCCAGGGAATATCAAAGACCCTGTTGGGGGCCAGGCTGGCCCAGTGCTGCCCCAAAGCGTGGTCTGCATCTTGCCCTGGATTGACTCCTCTCCATCCTCTCTTCCACCAGGCGCCTAGATGCCAACCTCATCTCCCTGGTCCCGGAGAGGAGCTTTGAGGGGCTGTCCTCCCTCCGCCACCTCTGGCTGGACGACAATGCACTCACGGAGATCCCAGTCAGGGCCCTCAACAACCTCCCTGCCCTGCAGGCCATGACCCTGGCCCTCAACCGCATCAGCCACATCCCTGACTACGCCTTCCAGAACCTCACCAGCCTTGTGGTGCTGTGAGTGCTGCTCTGACCCCCATCCCAGACGGGTTCTACTGGGGGCTGCATGTTTATTTGAATTGGATTGGAGCCTGCTGGCTTTGCTCTTCTCTGCATGTTGCTGAACCTTCTGGTCTCAGTTTCCCCTTTGTAAAAGGCTGAGTATGCGCATTCCCTGGTGACCTCAGAGGGTTATCATGAAGTCAAGTGATGTGAGAGCTATAGAAAAGCTCTGAGCATCACTAAAGGGCCAGGGTACTATACTCAGAATATAGCAATTAAGTTATTGTGTCTCTTGCTGTGCAAATTGGAATATAAAGCCAGAATTTCTGAAGTAATTTCCACCATTGTTGACAATCAAATGGTGCAGTCGTATGCTTTGGCACAGGGATGGAATAAATGCATCTTGTTTCCCAGCCCTGAAGAAGCAGAGAAAAGTCATCATTTGTAATTAGACAGCAAAGCCCCATCAGGGTAATTACCTGGGAGATAGCATCCCTGGCAGGAATTGGGGACTGGGGTTAACTCTGACTTCCCAGTAGGAACCTTAGAGTGCAAATTAGTTCCCAGCTAATTGCTGTGAATGATTGGTAAGTTCATAGGGTAATTACTAAGGGCTTGGAGGTCATATGTAATTGCTGTGGGTTCCACACTAATTGCTGCAGGAACATGGGTCAGGAACATGCGTGTTAGTGACTATGCTAAATGGTAGCATAGCCTCCCCTGCTTTTGGGAATCTGGTGTGCCTTTCCAAGCCAGGGAATGGGTGATACTTAGTTCTATTTGAGAGATGAAAGGCAAGCATCAATGTGTTTGTCTAATTCACTGTCCTGAGAGATTGAAGAACCAGGATGAATATCTTTGCACACCACATTCTTTTTCCAGGATGACCACACCCTCTCTTCTTCTGGGAGTTAGTGGGGGTATTTAGAGAAGGTAAACAGAACAAGGAGGTTGGTTCTAGCTTTGGTGATATCCCTGTGACATCATAGGGAATGGGGTTAGGTCTCTATGAGGGATAAGATGACTGGAGGAATGAGATCATGGTGGGCCCTAGGCAAATGAGCTGCCCCAGTCATTCACAGAGCCCCTATGTGGCACACTGAAAGCTCAGACAAGTAAAGCTATAGCTATTGCTCTCAAGGGGCTTACAGTCCAGTTGAAAGAGCAGGGTAAGTATGGGAAAAATAACGAAGGATGTAGTGGAACTTACACTAACACAGCCAGAGGAGAAGCACAGAGTCATAGTAGCATAGGATTGACAGGGAAGCTGAAGCTATGGTAGGCCAGGAGAGGGAGGTTTCATGGGGGAGGTGGGATGAACCTTGGAACTGGAAAGATGGTGGAAAGAATGAGGGCATTCCAAGCAGGTAGCAATAAGGACACAGAGGGGCAAGTCAGGGGTGTGTGGCTGCAAGGGACCAGTCGTGCAGGAGCAGAGGTCCTCGTGAAGAGGGGGAGAAGAGGCTGGCAAGGTGAGTGTGGGGACTCACAGTGTCAGCAAGGAACTTGACTTTTATCTGCCAATGGTGGGAGAGGGAGCTCAAAGGTTTTCAAGCAAGGGCTGAAAGGGGGTATTTTAGGGAGTTTAATTTGAAGGCTAGATGGGAATGAGGGAAGGGGGCTAACAGGAGACGAGAAAGTCAGTTCGGAGGCTCTTGTGCATCAATCAACATCCAGTTTAAGGAGGTGGCAGAAGGGATAGAAGAGAAGACATGACCGCCAGGGATATTTTGGAGGAAGAATTGATCTGATTTTGAGGATTTCAGGTTGTGGAAGACCAAGAAGGAGAGTTATGAATGACTCCAAGGTTTGGTTGGGAGCCAGGGAATTGGCCGGAAAGTTGAGCCTGTTATAGATCTAGAAAAGAGAGGTGGTCCCACTGGGAATAAGAAGGGGCAAGGGACTAAGATTAGAAAATCTACTGGTGAAGGAACAAAGTTGAACGAGAACCTGTCCTTTTGCATGAGTCCTTCACCCCCAGCTCAATTGAGCTTCTAGCAGGAGGTGACCTGTGGAGGGGACAGGAGGCTGAGGAATGCTGTCCAGGGACTCTGGGATGAGCTGCAGGAGGCCCAGAAGGCAAAGACGGAAGACTGGGTATGATAGGAAGCAAGGAAGAAGTTTGGTAAAAACTAAGGGATGGCCAGGGCCTGGCTGGAGGTGTGAGTAGATAAGCAGGGTAGAGGAAAGGGGCTTTTCTTCAATCCAAACCCTGTACATTCATCAGCTTCTCTGCCACATAGGAACCCCTTCCCACCACTGCTCTGGAACTGACAGGACCACTAGGAACACTTAATGGGACAGCAGTGGTGTCATGTGTCTAATCTTGTCTCTTCATCTGGATGATAAGCCCTGACACCTGCCCCAGACTGGGCTACCTGAGGCACCCAGGACTCCAGGGTGGAATGAATGATTTAGAGGAGAGAGTTGGAGGCCTGGAGCTGGATGTTTAGCTGGATGGACCAGAGGTACTGGAGGAGGCAGAAAGGGGTGGAAAATGGAGATAGAAGGGAGGCAAGAAGAATGATAGAGTTTGGTTACAGTCAGATATAGGTGTAAAGGAAATGGGAAAAATAAAACCCCCTGGACAAGGGGCGATTGTTCACTTCCAGAAAGCAGAGGCTGTGTTTTCCCCATTGGATCAGAAGCCCCCTGGGGGCAGAAATCTGTCTCCCTGACTGGAAGCTCATAGGCAGGTGGGCAAGGGCGGAGAAGACAGCTTTCAATCCCAAGGCTAGTACGACTCCCATCCCTACCCATCTGTGCTGGACGAGGCCTGCCTGCTGCCTTCATATTTGAACCACATCTTGGAGGCCAGCCTGATTTTTCTCCCTTGTCAGTGATTTCCTTTTTCTGGCTGAAGATGTTTTTAAATTCTTGAACTTTAATAGCTTAACTAGAATATGTCACAGTGTAGAATATTCTGCATCCAATTATCCTGGAACAATGTATGCTTTTGAGCTGAAGATTCCGTTCTCTCTTCATTTTAGGGGATTTTTTGTATCATGTCTTTGAATACATTTTCAGTCTCATTTTTGGATTCTCTGCTTCAGAGACATCAATTACCCTTATGTTCAATCACCTTTATGTCTTCAGCATTGATTAGTTTCTGTTTTAACCCTTATATCTCATTTAGCCATACTCACCATGATTAGCTCAAGCCTTCTCTCTGACACCAATTCCATTTTTAGCAGCATCCATACTGTTCCTTTGTTCAAATAGATTGACTAGATTTTTAATGGTATAGTGTTGGTCCTCAATTTACTTCCTTACTCTCCAATGTCATTTTTCTTTTCATCAAAAAATTTTTGTCCTTGAAATATCATTTTATTGAATTTTTTTGTCACAGAGGGCTGTTGTGATAAATTTCCTTCTGTTCCTCACTCATTAGTTGTGTTTTCTTCTAGCTTGGCACTTTGCCTGTCTTTTATTTTTTCTTTCTGTGTCCCTGTTGTATGTTTTCATAATTGGGATGCAATTTCTTTTTTCTGGCTAATGCTCGGATAGCTCTGACCAGCTGTTCAAGCTACGATCCCTTTGAGCTCCCTTTTGCCAGAAATGCCCTTCCCTCTGCTTGTTTGGTTACCTGTCCTTTGAGGCCCTGCTCTGGATCACCACCTCTTTAAAGCCTTCCTTGATTCCTCTGGCCTCGCTAAACTCCCTGTTCTCCAAGCTTGTCTGCAGTTCTCTCCAGTTGTAACATAAAGCTTAGCCTTTAATTATATGTTGTCTGCAGCGGTCTGCTGTTGGCTTCCTTAAGTACGTCTGGCCACTGAGTCAGGCAGACTGGGTCCTAGGGAGCAGGGCCATAGAAGAAGCCTCAGACTTGAGCCTTTCTGATGTCAGGCCTCTGTCCTTGAGCTTAGTGGGAGCTTGCTTTAGCCTTGGCCTAGGGCTCTCCTCTCCCTTTTTCCTTCTATAGGAAGTCAGAATGGGATAGCCTGTGGTCAATCCAGCCTTGGAGATTGTGGTTTTGGAAGTCAGTCTTGGTCAGTGAGTTTGTCCCTGGAGACAAAGGGCTGGGCCGCTGGGGCCATTTTGTCCACACTTCTACCTCCACTTTCCTCTTCACACTGCTGTGTGCACTGCCATCCCTGGCCCTGATGCTGGGGGTACCCATTCTCATGCATCTTTCCTTCCTACACAGGCATCTGCATAACAACCGCATCCAGCATCTGGGTACCCACAGCTTCGAGGGGCTGCGCAACCTGGAGACACTGTGAGTGTTGGAGTCATGGTCAAGCTCTGTCCTGTGTGGTGATGAAAGCCTGGAGTCCTGGAGTGGGAGGGAGTGGACAGAGGGAAAGCCAGGCAGAATGGGGATGCTAGAATATGGCCCCAGACTTGTTCACCCATAGCCCCTCCCTGGTTCTTTCTCTGGAATGTCACTCAGTGAATTCCTCCCTCCTTCAGGTACCCTTCAGGAGTTTAGGATGGCCCAGGGAGTGGAAAGCTAGGATCTCTTCTGGCAGAGGCCACCAAAATAATGAAAACTGTAGACAGAAATGGGAACTGCAAGGAGAAGCTGGAGGAATTCGAATATGAAGCCTGGGGGATAGAAAGCTCGGGGGTGGGGCCAGAGCAAACTTGATGGCAGTTTTGACATCTGTTTAAGGGTGGCTGCTGACAGAAGGGAGGGTCATGCTACAGAGTGAGTCTGAGACTGTTTGCCAATTGATCTAACTAGCTACATGATTAATGGGGAGATGGCCCACTCAGCGCTCCAGCCTGACTATAAAAAGCACCCAAGCTGTTGACTCTTAAAAAGCCGTATTATTCACACATCATCATCCTGGAATTCGGTTAAGGTCAGAATGCACCCAAACCCTCCCATCATTTCCTCTGGAGCCCCGCCAGCCCCCGCAGAGTGGGCTGAGTGGGCCCCACTTGAGCAAACAACTGGCTGGGCTCTCTAAGTATGGCCAGCCATGCCAGCTGGGGTCCCTCAGCTCCCATGAGGGAGCTGGCTGCCCCAGCCACCTGGTGCAGGCCTAGGAGGAGGGTGCTGGGGAGGGGAGCACCCCCAGGTTTCCAAGGTGAGCCACTGAGGTTGGAGACAGGCTCTTGGTGTCCGGGGATGGTTACAGTTCCTCTTGTCACTCCCACTACATCGTCCCCTCTACTCATAACCAAACCTCCCTATTCTCCCCTCACTCCCATCCAAGAGCATTGCTTTTAAGGTGAGGGATTTTCAAGAATCCAAAATAGCATAGGAGAAAATTCTGGGAGACAAGCTGTGGCCTGGGAAGCAATGTGTTGGGGAAAACCATTTGGCAAAGTCTATCCCAGGAAGCCTCGACTGTCGGCATCTGTGGTTGTGCAGGGAAGGGTAATGGCGAGGCCAAAACCAAAGCTCTGCTCCTCTTTCCTGTGGGCGCAATACCCAAGAGCACCAGCTGCCCCCTTGGGCTCAGCCTGCAGCAGGAGAGATGGCAGAACTAGGCATACCCTCCTGGCAAGCTCACCATCCAGCTGACAGAGGGTCAAAATGTGGGGAATGTGTCCCAGCCTGGAGGCAGGAAGGTGGGAACCACTCCCTGCCACTGTGTGTGACTTGGGCTCTCTGTCATAGACAGCCGGACAGTTAACGCTGGACAGACTTGCCTGCTCAATCCACGTATGAGAAAACCGATGTCCAGGGAGGTGGCATGGCCCACCCAGAATTACTCTTTCAGGGACAGAGCAGATCTAGGATGTCTGAAAAGAAGTCCCTAGGATAGAGCCCAGCTGTTCTCCTCGTCAGGGTCAAATATGAGTTGTGTGAACCTGTGATGTGCTAGGCATTTGGGGGATCTTGGATGTAAGAGATGACCATTTCCCTGGGAAAGCTTGTGCCCCCATAGCCACTCTCTCTCAGGAGACACAAGAGCTTCAGGGCAGTGTTTGGAGCTGGCTGCATCTACAGGGCAGGAGGGAGGCCAGTGCCACAGGCCCTGGAGTGTGGGCGCTCTTAGTTCTGCTGGGAAATCAGGTGGGGAGGGGGCACATACACTGGGTGTGGGTTGGCACTTCTAAAAAGCCAGCTAGCAGCTGTTTCTTCACTTTTGGGGCACGCTGCCTAATTCTTTCTCAATTAGCCGCTGGTTGCTGCGCAGGGCATTTGGCCCAGCCGGTGCTGGCTGAATTACAGAGCAATCCTGCCGCTAAGTACCTTTCATCTACAGGAGCGCTTGGCTCTGTCACACAAAACCCAGGGCCTGCACCCACTTTACAGATGGGAAAGCCAAGGTTAAGAGACAAGAAAGCTTTTCCCACCTTACAGCGTGGAGGCAGAAGCCCTTGGCACTAGACAGCCTGGGGCACAACGCCAGCTCTACCAACTGTGTGACCTTCGTCAAGTCGTTTACCTCTGTGAGTCTCTGTTTTCTAATCTGCAAGATAATGCCACTTGTAGTACTGATCTTACAGGGCTGACATGTGGCTTCAAGGAGATGATGTGTGTAAAGTGCTTACAGAGCCTGGCAAGCTATACAGGAACCTGCCCTGCACTCCCTTCTTCCCCGGCCCCTCCTTTCAGGGCCGCCATCTCAACAGCACCTCTTTCTTCCCTACCCTTGAGGGGTTAGTTCTTCTTCCAACTTTTGATCTCCAATTAAAAAGAGGAAAAGTGTGTTCTTTATCCTCTATTCCCCAGAGCATTTGCTGGGGAGCCTGCAGGGGCAGCCAGATGTGGAGGTGGGGGAGGGGGAGTGGCTGGGAGAATAAAAGGAGAAAGAAATGATAGTCAAACCTTTTAATTGTTGCATAATTGGCACGCTTTGCAGCCTCAGTTATTACCCTGGAGCTTTTCATGTGAGCTTCTCACTGGAAGGGTATTTCTCCCTCGGGCCCCGTAAATCTCTGCCACTTAGACCTCTCTCATCTCCGGCAGCAGAGGGAAGATCAAACCCCTGCGGCCTGAGCTGTGGTTTGGCTGGAGCTGTGGTTTGGCTCGTCTGCAGACTCCCCTTCTGGGGGAGAGTAGCCCCCCCCCATACCACCTGGGGAGGAGGGTCCAGGTGCGGGCACACACACGCGTGGTCACACAGGCACCTTAAACTGCACAGCCGGCCATGCACACACAGTGCACAAGCCCCGTGGCTCAAGCCCTACATGATCTCTGCTCCACATAGACACCCCCACCCCACCCTCTAGCAAAGCACAGAGATGCCCACTGCAAATGCACCTGCAGCAACACAGCCTCTGTTATGCCCTCGATTCTGAAGACCAGGCTGCCTGGCTTCCAACCCCGGTTCTGCCTCTGGAAGCTGGTCGGCTGGAGCAAGTCGCTTCACCTCTGTGAGCCTTGCTTTATTCATCTGTAGAATGAGCTACCCAGGTGAAGAGTAAATGAGACATAAAAAAACTGAAATTATCTTCGGAATTTGTTTCTCCAGATCAAATGATCAACCAGTTTTTATCTGGAAATTTTGAAAGTGTTGCATCACAATTTGACATTCCGAGTTGTGGCAAACAGGTGACTGGTTCTTCTACCATGACAGTGCAACTGCCCACACTGCACTAAGTGTTCAGCAGTTTTTGACAAAAAAACTGCATGATCCCTGTGCCCCACCATCTCTGTTCACCTAATCTTGCCCTGAGCAATTTTTTTGTTTCCCTGAATAAAAAAAGTCCTCAAATGGAAATGTTTTGCCTATGTAGAAGAGGTGAAACAAAAACTGGCAGAAGCATTAAAAGGCACCCAAACTGACAAGTTCAAAAACTGTTTTGAGCAGTGGGAAAAGCATTTTGACAGGTGTATTGCATCAAACGAAGAGTACTTTGAAAGTGACTGAAGTTTGGCGGGGTGCGGTGGCTCAGCCTGTAATCCCAGCACTTTGGGAGGCTGAGGCGAGGGGCTTGCCTGAGCCCTGGGGTTCGAGACCAGCCTGGGCAACTTGGTGAGACTTCGTCTCTGCAATAAATCACAAAAACTAGCCGGGTGTGGTGGTATGCGTCTGTAGTTCCAACTACTTGGAAGGCTGAGGCAAAAGGATCGCCTAAGTCCAGCAGGTCGAGGCTGCAGTAGCTGTGAGCGTGCCACCGCACTCTAGCCTGGGCGACAGAGTGAGACTCCAACTCAAAAGAAAAAAAAGAAAGTGACCAAAGTTTAAACATGTAAGAATAAATACACAATATTTTATAAATAAATTACAGTTTTTTGGGTCCCCCTTCATACATTGTGCTCTCTTGTACTCCAGAAGAACCAGTCAGATCCAAGTGATTGGGGCACTGTGAAATACTCTCTCCGGCTGAGCAGAACAATTCATACAAACTCCACACAGGCCCTTAGGCACAAACCTTGCTGCTCTCTGAGGAAGTTTGCCCTCGTAGGAAGGAGGGTCCTAGGATATTTCTCCTGATGTAGTCATCATCATTCCAGACTTTGCCAAGAAATATCAGCCAGAGGTAGACATGATGTGCTCTGTCCTGCGTCTACAACTCCTGCCTACTCCCACAATGACCCACGACTTGCTGGGAAATTCAAAATCAGAGATGGTCTAGCCCCACAGCCTGGGAGGCAGTATTTCCTCTGTTTTCCAGATCAGACCAAACCTGGTGATTTGGGACGAGTTTCCCAAGTGTCTATAGTTTGCAAGTGTTGGTAAACCACCAGAAGCCATACCTCTTGCCTCAAATACGTTCCTGCATTTAGCATTACTCCTTCAAGGTCAAATCAGTCACAGCACTTCCCAGGTATCTAGGCTGAAAAATGAGAGAAAGCATGATGAAGACCAATTCTGGGAAGCTTCTCCCAGAAGCTCTCAGGGACCTGCAACTAGATTGCCCGTGCCCCTGGGTCAATACTTAGAAAACATGCTTGGAGGCCACGGGGAGGTATTCCAGTTTGACAGGTAATAATCCTCAAATTCCCAGCTACACATAATAATAAAATCTTTGCAATAAAAACAGTAAAACATAACAATAAAAAAGGAGGGAGAGTGCCTAGACAAGTGCCAACTGCATTATGAGGGTCCCACCCTCACTCCTTAGATCTGGGAACTTGATGTCTGCATCTCAGAGCCTCAGTTTCTAGAACCAAAAAGAAGCAGGACCCAGAATGGATCTGGGGACAACAGCACCTCACACCCCCTGGGGATGGGTGATGATCTCTGGACTTTATTATAGCCTTACTAAACAAATCAGGCCCAGCTAGAACCCTGAGCTGACTGAACATTTCCCTTTAGAGGAGAGCCTGGAGCCACACAGAAAGAAACTTCCTGGCCTCAGCACCCTCTG